AATAGATAATTCATCACCTTACATATCGATGCATGATTGCATTCAAAATTTCAAAGCCAACGAGATGTATAAATTAAGTTGTACTAAGATTGTTAAAGCTAAGTTCACACCAACGGCGCTTTGATGGCGCTTTAATGCGACGTGCAAAGCCGCTTTGCCGCTAAGTTCACACCAACGGCGCTTTAAAGCGGCACCAAAGCGTAACAAAGCTTCATTGTCGTAAAAGATTGTGCAAAAGCTCGGAGTAAAGCGGGACATTCGGCAAGAGCGCCAAAAAATTTAAAGCTAATTTCACACCAACGGCGCTTTGATGGGTCTAGTGCTTTAAAGCGCCATCAAAGCGCCGTTGGTGTGAACTTAGCTTTAAAAATTTTGGGCGCTCTGTCACGAATTGATTAAAGCGCCGAGAGCGTATCACAGCTTAAAGTGGGAGTATCGATTGCCGAGTCGTATCCAATGATCCTGGGCCTATCGTAAAATGAAAGCTTTGAATATGTTGTTGCCTTTAAAAATGTATCTATTTTCCATGTATGCTACTAGAATTTGTGCACATACCTTATAACGATCGATAATGGCAAAGGAAAATCCTCTAATTCTTCGTCATAATTTCTCCTTCGACGTCCGCCATTTTTTATTAAACCGGAAGTTTTTCTCTGACGTCCGCGCAATGTTTTTTCACTTTTATTTCAGATTACGCTTCGGATTCAACATTTAATACTTTCTAATATTAATTAAGTGTTTTCTATAAGAAAGATTTCATAAAAAGACTCACACTATCAGAGATTTTATCGATTCGAGCAGCCAGAAAAATTAGTTTCAATTTCACCCGCTAGGTGTTTCGACGTCGACTTGGAAAGAATTTGAAAAATCTATGAGTGGGACTCCTTGTATGGAATTGTAGATTCTAAACGATTTGCCAGTTCTACTGGTTGATGAATATTGCCATATGCATACATTTTTATAAAATAGGAATAAGGAAGAAGATGTTGGACCAAACTTCACCCCGATAGCTCAGAAAAGGTAAAATTTCTCCATTTTTCTCTCCACAGACCTTAGAGCCGCTTTAACAAAGCGTAACAAAGCTCAGGAAAGCTTGATCCAAAGCGTAGAAATGCTTAACAGAGCTTGGTTCAAAGCGAGGGACCCCAGTCTTCACGGTCTGTCACCACTTGACACGCTTCGTTAAGATGTCTCAAGATTTGCTACGATCTGGCATGATGATCTGATACGAGGTCAGACGCTTTCATCAAGATCTGACACGCTTTGTTACACTTTCATGAAGGACTCTCACGCTTTCCCACGAATTGAGACGCTTTGATCGAGAATTGGCACGCTTTGTTAGGCTTTGTTACGCCATGCCAAGCTTCCTCACGCTCTCCTATGATAAATAAATAGCGCTGAGACTTGAGTACCACATCATGTCTTCTTCAGATAGATCATGCTCAGGTACATCTGGAACTTCTGGATCTTGTTGTTCTGCCATCGTGTTCTGGAGTCAAAGATGCAATGATTTTATGGATCTGCTGCATCTTTATATAAGCTCTTGATCAAAAGCGGCATGAAATCGGCGATCTCAGCATTTTCCAATGCGTAACAGAGCTTCACGGAGCGTAGCAATGCACGACAGAGCTTGATAATCATATCAGAGCCTGATTTAAAGCGTCATTATTGCATCAAAGCGTAATAAAGCTACGTGATTTCAAGCGTAACAAAGCCTGAAAGCATTACTCCGTACAGTCGCATACGAAAACTGTAATAGGTTGTGATGCACATTTTTATTAAAACGTTATAAATTCTACACAGAATAGTTTTTGATGAGTGGATACGTCTCTTACCAAAGTTGAGGGGATCAGTCAGTTAACATACATGTATTGGAAAGAGAAAAACGAAGTACGATTTTTTTTATTGAAACCTGCTACATGCACGGTCAACAATATCAAACAATAAAAAATATGAAGTTTCTTCCATTAATTTATTCTCACTTTCTAAAATGTTTCGAATTCATACATTCATAATCTTTATTGCTTAAGACCTGATTATGTGAAACACTTCAATATTTTATCATATTAAATTAAGAAGATTTTGGTTCTTTTTGCTTGACGCCAATGTCTGCCAATGCCTGAAACTAACCAAATCACATTTGACATAATTTTGAATGAGTTTCTGGACATAGATAAATCTACTTTATCTCAAATTATGTGAGGAGAAAAGGTGAGATTGGGGGATTAACAGCACTTTTCTACTGAAGAAAAAAATACATGTCAGCTCTGTAGCCAGGATTTGCCAAGGGGGGAGGGGGAGGTTCACTGTTTAAAAAATCCCAAGGTGTTCACTTTTGACAACGTTGGCTCAAAAATGGCAAAAATCACAAGATTTTGAAAGAATTTTTGGCCAAGGTGGGGGGACGTTCAAACCCTGGCTACTACACAGGCCTGCATGTCTACAATTTCTCAACTGATTGAAAATTTATGATATTCCATTTCTGACCATTATATTAAACATGACAATGTGAGTTAAATATATTTTAAGCTTGTTTAAATGTCTCAGGGGAGATCAATGGCCATTGTGCATGTCTACTATCTCTAAGTGTATCATGTAGCTTCAGTAGCTTCTGTACTATTATTGGATTGAGTAACATCATTAACAGTGTCTGTGTTCTCAGTAGCACTATCCATAGCACTTTCAGTGTCATCAGTAGCACTGTACTTAGCTGGAATATCACTTGCGGTAGTCTGGACATCATCATCTTCAGCCGGAACATCACTTTCAGCCGTCTGATTGTCTGCACTGGATGTTACGTCCATACTGTCAGTACCAGGAATGCGTTGAATAGCCTCCTGGGTATTAGCTGGTGGAGATTTCATATGTCCTCGTTTGAATAATGCATCTGAAATTAAGAATTCGAAATTCTTATATTGCTTACCGAATTACTGATAAGTATAGCAACTTTAGCAGTGGATTTGGGGCAGGTTTTTGATTAAAAAAATAAATGCGATATTGTTGATATTTCTTGTTAGACTTTACAGGGTGTCTTATAGCTATGAAAAGTCACCCTGTAATGCACTGGGTCTTTACATTATCAAAATTAGTTAAAGAGGGACATGGGGTATAAATAGGAGGCAGACTAATGGAACAGCCAAAATAACTGAATTTGATATTTTCTCAAAGCTGGTAAATTTTCACATATTTCATACTGATTGAGAAAATGTATTGTTTCCAATTTTGCTATGTACATATTTCAATGTTTTGATGTTCAAATTCTGCAGTTAGATTTTAACTTCATCATTTTGTTGGGTTGTGATAAGACATTTAACAAGGCATTAACATGACAAAATGTCACCACCTAGTTGCTCACAATATTATGAGTTCAAACTTAATATAAGTCAGATTTGAATTTCTGAGAACTTGTAAAGTCAAATTTGAACTTCTGAAAAGATGTAGATGATTTTGAAAAAAAAATTTGGTCAATTTGAAGCAAGTTGAAAACAGACCTTTTTGACCTTTTTTGACCTTGAGAAGGTCATTAAAGGTCAAATGTCAAATCTAAAGTCAGATTTGAATTTCTGAGAACATGTAGATGATTTTGAAAAAAAAAATTAGTCAATTTGAAGCAAGTTGATAAAAGACCTTTTTGACCTTTTTTGACCTTGAGAAGGTCAAATGTCAAATCTAAAGTCAAATCTAAAGTCATATTTGAATTTCTGAGAACATGTAGAATGTAGATGATTTTGAAAAAAGATTTAGTCAATTTGAAGCAAGATGAAAAAATACCTTTTTGACCTTTTTTGACATTGAGAAGGTCATTGAAGGTCAAATGTCAAATCTAAAGTCAGATTTGAATTTCTGAGAACGTGTAGATGATTTTGAAAAAAATTTTTAGTCAATTTGAAGCAAGTTGAAAACAGACCTTTTTTGACCTTGAGAAGGTCAAATGTCAAATCTAAAGTCAGATTTGAATTTCTGAGAACATGTAGATGATTTTTAAAAATTTTTTAGTCAATTTGAAGCAAGTTGAAAAAAGACCTTTTTGACCTTTTTTGACTTTGAGAAGGTCATTGAAGGTCAAATGTCAAATCTTAAGTCAAATCTAAAGTCAGATTTGAATTTCTGAGAACACGAAGATGATTTTGAAAATTTTTTTTAGTCAATTTGAAGCAAGTTGAAAACAGACCTTTTTGACCTTGAGAAGGTCATTGAAGGTCAAATGTCAAATCTTAAGTCAAATCTTAAGTCAGATTTGAATTTCTGAGAACACGTAGATGATTTTGAAAAAAAAATTTAGTCAATTTGAAGCAAGTTGAAAACAGACCTTTTTTGACCTTGAGAAGGTCATTGAAGGTCAAATGTCAAATCTAAAGTCAGATTTGAATTTCTGAGAACATGTAGATGATTTTGAAAAAAAAATTTAGTCAATTTGAAGCAAGTTGAAAAAAGACCTTTTTGACCTTTTTTGACTTTGAGAAGGTCATTGAAGGTCAAATGTCAAATCCAAAGTCAGATTTGAATTTCTGAGAACACGTAGATGATTTTGAAAATTTTTTTTAGTCAATTTGAAGCAAGTTGAAAACAGACCTTTTTGACCTTTTTTGACCTTGAGAAGGTCAAATGTCAAATCTTAAGTCAAATCTTAAGTCAGATTTGAATTTCTGAGAACACGTAGATGATTTTGAAAAAAAAATTTAGTCAATTTGAAGCAAGTTGAAAACAGACCTTTTTGACCTTTTTTGACCTTGAGAAGGTCATTGAAGGTCAAATGTCAAATCTAAAGTCAGATTTGAAGGTCAAATGTCAAATCTAAAGTCAGATTTGAATTTATGAAAACATGTAGATGATTTTGAAAAAAAATTTAGTCAATGTGAAGCAAGTTGAAAAAAGACCTTTTTGACCTTGAGAAGGTCATTGAAGGTCAAATGTCAAATCTAAAGTCAGATTTGAACTTCTGAGAACATGTAGATGATTTAGAAAAAAATTGAAGTCAGTCTAAACAGTATTTGTTAAGTTATAGGAAGTTGTAAGAAATTGTTACAGACGCCGGACGCCAACCGCCAACCACCAACCGCCGGACGCCGTCACAAAAAAAACGGAGACCATAACAATATGTCACCACCATATGTCACCACTTTTGGTGGTGACATAATAAAAACAGAAATAACATTTTTCAAATTTAAAAGTCCTCAAGCTTAGCCAATCAAACTGATATTTTAATGGGAGTTGCTTGCAACTTTAAAACCGGCCTTTAAATGTAGTAAAATCGTAGTTTAATAAATATATACAGCAAGCTGTTCTGAAATGTAGTCAAGTGATGTAAAATGAATTGCACTGATGTGTACTCAACATGAAGTATAGTACTGAAATATACATTACTGTAGTTAATTCTTACCTTGAGGTTGTACCCCACACAGTCTGAGAAAGTGAAATCTCTCCTGTTTAGGCACAAATGACCTCATTGACACTTTCCCTTTCCAGCCACAGAATACCAGCTTACAATTTGGTCCATTTTCTCTGCAAAAGAAATGAATGAGATGGTGAGGGGACATCTCAAAAGTAGAAGACAATATCTCAAACGTGAGTGAGGGGTTAACTTAAAGATTAGAAAAGAGTATCTCAAAAGTGGGAAAGGAGTCATCTTAACCTTTTCTGCCTGTAAGAGTCTGACAATTATTTCATATTCAAAATCCCACAAAATTCTTTGAAAGCTACTTCTGATTTTATGACCCTATAGGCAGGAGAAGATTTTTTTACAGCTTGCAGAATAGTTTTATTTGTCAAATTCTTTAATATTTAGTGTACAGCCAATTGACACCCATATGAGTGTATATAGTAACATATGATTAAATTAAATTCTGTATTATGGGTTAGGGGATATTATCATACATACCTGTCATCTTGATCCATGAAGGCTTCATCACTTGGATCATATATGAACCATATACTTCCTACACCTGCAATACAACAAACAATTTAGCATGTTTAACCCTTAATATAAAGGATTAGGCTATGGAGAATTACACCCATGGTAAGGGAGGGGGGGGGCAGATCTGCCATTGGAAAGGTTATTCAAAGCATTTTTAGCACTTACTTGTTATATATTGAGCTATCTTTAATGAAGAAATTCATATTCTTCTAAGAACATAGGGGTTTACATATAGTTTCAAGTTTCAAAAATATTGATTCAAGGTTCAAGAATATTGACAATTTGAGCATTTCAATAACTTTCACAAGCTTGAACTTAGGGGATTTAGACTCCGGAAAGTTTTCATAAAATACCTGGAGGGGATCAAACTCCCCAAGTCCATTAATGGCCATTATTTACAGGGCACATACAAACACCAGGGCTTATGTATATAGGGCCTGAAACAAGTAATTTTTGCTCACTACATACATGATGTCTATTTATGTGTAACTAAATAAAAGGAAATACTTACTATATGCTTTTGCTTGACTATGTACATCATTTGAAAAGTTGTCCAAGAAGGGGTTTTCTGTACTAAGCATTGTAACAATATCTCTACTGTGGACCTTTAGTGACCTTGCATTCAAGAATGGGAACATCATATGTAAGCCCTGAAAACACCAATATGCATTTGAGATTAAAGACAAATTGATGCATTGTATCTATATCTCTACTGTGGACCTTTAGTAACCTTGCATTCAAGAATGGGAACATCATATGCAAGCCCTGAAAACACCAATATGCATTTGAGATTAAAGACAAATTGATGCATTGTATCTATATCTCTACTGTGGACCTTTAGTGACCTTGCATTCAAGAATGGGAACATCATATGTAAGCCCTGAAAACACCAATATGCATTTGAGATTAAAGACAAATTGATGCATTGTATCTATATCTCTACTGTGGACCTTTAGTAACCTTGCATTCAAGAATGGGAACATCATATGCAAGCCCTGAAAACACCAATATGCATTTGAGATTAAAGACAAATTGATGTATTCGAACTATATCTCTACTGTGGACCTTCAGTGACCTTGCATTCAAGAATGGGAACATCATATGCAAGCCCTGAAAACACCAATATGCATTTGAGATTAAAGACAAATTGATGCATTGTAACTATATATCTACTGTGGACCTTTAGTGACCTTGCATTCAAGAATGGGTACATCATATGTAAGCCCTGAAAACACCAATATGCATTTGAGATTAAAGACAAATTGATGCATTGTATCTATATCTCTACTGTAGACCTTTAGTGACCTTGCATTTGAGAAGGGGAACATCATATGTAAGCCCTGAAAACACTAATATGCATTTGAGATTAAAGACAAATTGATGCATTGTATCTATATCTCTACTGTGGACGTTTAGTGACCTTGCATTCAAGAATGGGAACATCATATGTAAGCCCTGAAAACACTAATATGCATTTGAGATTAAAGACAAATTGATGCATTGTATCTATATCTCTACTGTGGACGTTTAGTGACCTTGCATTCAAGAATGGGAACATCATATGCAAGCCCTGAAAACACCAATATGCATTTGAGATTAAAGACAAATTGATGCATTGTATCTATATCTCTACTGTGGACCTTTAGTGACGTTGCATTCAAGAATGGGAACATCATATGTAAGCCCTGAAAACACCAATATGCATTTGAGATTAAAGACAAATTGATGCATTGTATCTATATCTCTACTGTGGACCTTTAGTGACCTTGCATTCAAGAATGGGAACATCATATGTAAGCCCTGAAAACACCAATATGCATTTGAGATTAAAGACAAATTGATGCATTGTAACTATATCTCTACTGTGGACCTTTAGTGACCTTGCATTCAAGAATGGGAACATCATATGTAAGCCCTGAAAACACCAATATGCATTTGAGATTAAAGACAAATTGATGCATTGTAACTACTGTATATCTCTACTGTGGACCTTTAGTGACCTTGCATTCAAGAATGGGAACATCATATGTAAGCCCTGAAAACACCAATATGCATTTGAGATTAAAAACAAATTGATGCATTGTAACAATATCTCTACTGTGGACCTTTAGTGACCTTGCATTCAGGAATGGGAACATCATATGCAAGCCCTGAAAACACCAATATGCATTTGAGATTAAAGACAAATTGATGCATTGCATCTATATCTCTAATGTGGACCTTTAGTGACCTTGCATTCAAGAATGGAAACATCATATGTAAGCCCTGAAAACACAAATATGCATTTGAGATTAAAGACAAATTGATGCATTGTATCTATATCTCTACTGTTGACCTTTAGTGACCTTGAATTCAAGAATGGAAACATCATATGTAAGCCCTGAAAACACCAATATGCATTTGAGATTAAAGACAAATTGATGCATTGTATCTATATCTCTACTGTTGACCTTTAGTGACCTTGAATTCAAGAATGGAAACATCATATGTAAGCCCTGAAAACACCAATATGCATCTGAGATTAAAGATGAAATGAAGTCGGGCCTAGATAAGTTGAAATAAAATTTGAAATATTTAATCTATAGTTTTATTTTACTCATTAAAGAAACTATTGAACATTTTGTAATTTTTAACCTCTTGAATACCCAGAGTGACGGATATATCCGTCACAAATGAAATCAGACTGGTGCCCAGAGGGACGAGAAAATCCGTCACAAAATTGTTCACAAAAATTGCTCTCATTTGAACAATTTTCATCCAATTTACACAAAAATTGTTTTAAAACGTGTAGAAATGATCTCTGCCGTCCAATTTTACTAAGCTGAGCATCTTAAGTTGTATAGGTATGTAGTAAAATGTCAAAAGGTGGCAAAAAATGAAAAATTCTCTGGTTTCATGCCAATTTTAGAGCCTGGGATTCAAGAGGTTAAAGGAAAAAGAGAAGCTAATTCTGTCTATTTGAATGTTTTAATTTATTTTTCCTTTTAATTTTTAGATCTAAGTGATATCTTTGTTGCTGATTACGATGAGCAGCCATATTATATCATAGATCTTGTTCTAAGATGTTTTAAGACGATTGTCTGGGTTTTCTGGTAGATTTTAAGGATGAGATGACATCATCTACAGTACTTACTTCCTGACAAAGTCTAAAGCTACAATCACAGTCATCATGGTCACTCCTCACCAGTACTTTAACACCAAGGTTAATAAACTGAAATGAAGCATGTTCGTTTTTTATATACAAGGTGTTGATAAAGTCCCTTTTTACAGACTTTGTATTTTAATTGTAGAAAGTTTATGGACACCCAGCATATCACTAATGAAAAGATGCAACACAATGGTTAAGTCAGCAAAACTTGTATATCTGAACACTTCTCTAATCTGAACACTATTTCATTCCTTTTTCAAAAATCTGCCATGTGAACATCTGTCATCTGAACAGTGGCATTTGGATTTACTTTGGATTTACTTCAAACACACAGAGATTAGTTCTTTATTTGCCTGCAAATATTTCAATTACATGGCATTGTATGGCTTTGAAAGAACGTTGGATCAGGCATTAACAATCATACAGAAGCTTTAACTTTTGATATTTTCATCACCTAATCTTACAGTACAGGGTGTCTTTTCAGAGATTTTGTATTATAATTTAAAAGACCTGCATGATGAGAAATTTTATGTTATTGTCAAAAATATCTTCAAAATCAAAATATGTTGATGATAATTGACTTGCTACTGTATTTCTATGTACACCTACCTTAACCCTCTCTTCATTATGAGCCAGTATAGTTTTGATGTGTGGTGAAGTGTAGTAGATATTACGCTTCTTCCCCTCTCCACAGCGAACAAGAAGATATTTGTGGTCAAACTCTTTGTCCATGTTGAAGAACTTCCTGAAAGTAAACGAAATACCACTTGTCAAAGCAAAATACCATTTTTCATAACAAAATACCACTTTAATATCAAAATACCATTTTTCATAGCAAAGTTCCATTTTTCATAACAAAATACCATTTGACATAACAAAACAACACTTGTCATCATCCAGTTTTCCAAAAAATCACTTAATTATTTTACACTTCTTCTGACCTCAAAGTTCGAACAATTCTAAAAACAAATTCAAATTTCCGAAACAGAATCAAAAGATCTCGTCAAAACTAAGATACAGGTTCAGATCAATAGCAGTTCCGTTTTGCTATTTTAAGGAATTTGACATTGAAGAAACAGGTTAGTTTTCTTGATTGTTTTATATTATTAGCTGTACTAGATAATGAATGACCACATGTTAACTTCTCACTGCACAGTCAAACCTGTAACTGTGAAATTAATGATAGCATCAATTTAATGGACTCATTTCGATATAAACATTAATCAAGAAAAGGTTCACTACACAAGTACAGTTACATGTCTATGTCCTTATCAATATTTTGTTCATTACAGTGAGGTTTCACTGATCCATTCTGATCAAAACAAGTGTTGAATTACTGGTTTAACTGTATACAAATATTGTATACATATTTTTATGTATACAAAACATTCATTTCTACACATACTGAACAATCATTACGCAAGGTGAAACAATGTTCCTCTATGTATTTGTAAGTATCATAAGGGACATTTAAATAGCATTTAAAAGTATCTACATCAAATGGGCTTACAGAAGAAACTGAATTCCTAAAAACTTTTCCGAGCCCATATCTTGAAACATTGCTAATACTGCTGAGGTAATGAAAATATTTAAGATACATTTACAAATTGGATAGGTTAAGACATCATATAAGACAACTGAGATGTCACAAATAATTATCCTAATCCACAATTGTGTTTGACAAGTTCATTTAATAGGCCTCAGATTTGTTAAATTAATATGTTACTTTCAATAAACTATTCTTAATTATAGGGTTGTTTGTTAGTGTTTATGGGGTCCTCCATAGCGCAGACCCCCGAAGAGTGTATGAACCAAAATTTGCCAAGGACGTAAGAATTCCAAAAATGTTTTTAACATTGAATATAATATCAAAATTTATTTTGACAAAATAGAGAACTTATTTGACATCTTATTTCAATGAAATTATACTTTTATAACATTAGACATAAAGATCTCACTACTCAGGAACATTTACAAATGAATACAACACTGAATGTCATAGTTTACCAAGTGTGAAGACAAATATGGGATGTTTAACTGTCAAGACAAAATGTGAAGATGGAACAAAATCAAAATCATTGTGATTATCAATAAAACATGTGACTTAACCATATTATAACTTCCGTGTCTTGATTTTCAGTCCAGAAGCTGGGGAGACGGTAGAGTTCTACACGCATCCATATTGCATGAATGCAAGCATAACTTGGAACTACCCCCAGGGGGCAGTACGAGCACGATTCCAGCTCGGAAATGGTGGTCATAACTTTGACATCTGCTTAACACACAGTGATGTCTCTTTTATTGAGGATATTTATGATGAAACTAGTGGTTTGAGCAGACGTATCTCTGCCCCAACCCCAGGTATTGTAACCCTACCCCTATTTCTTACTGCTTTTGTTTGTAAATACTGTACATGTGCAGGTTGTTTTTATAATGAAACAGAATTGAATAAGCTTTCATAAGATAATATATATATAACACATGATAATATATGTCATCCAGGATTTGTGATTAGTGGATTGGTGGTGATTGTTCATTATGAAACATTGTAGAAAAAGGATTTCCAGTTGCCATATTTTTGAGGGGAGAGTACATGTATGTCATGAATGAACTATTTTCCAGGATCTGACACCTGTGTATCCTCCAGTCAAGCAGAGGCTGTCATCAGATTTGTGGCCCCTAATGTTCTCTACTATGTTACCTACATACCATACTATATCAATGGACCACTTTAAGACAAGATACCACATAAATAGACAACTTAGCAACTAGATACCACATCAATAAACCACTTAGCAACTAGATACCACATCAATGGCCCACAGGATACCACACCAGTTACCACTGTTTTCATGAACTTATGTACAATTTCTAAGTTGGTGGAAATAGATCTGCAGGTGATTCAAAATCTCAAATGGATGCATCAATATTGGGAAGGTACTTACTGTATAGGGGGCCAGATGGGGTCTGTCTCCTCCAAGAATATATAAGGATCTTCCTTAAACCCACCCGCTTTACGTTTTTTCTTCATCTGTGAACAATAGGGGGCACTGCAATTACAGAAATATGAACAGTTAAAACAAGGATGATTCTGGCAGCCAAGATTCCTTCCCAATCTTCATTTTCTTGGCATTGAACAATTAGGTAATGATATAACCATAATGTTCCACTTCCAGACTGTCTGACTATTTAGTCGAGAGATGTCCTTTACACTGTTTTGAAAGCTGTCAAGCGTTGATCATGTAAACACAAGGTTATGACTTCAACGGCATCAGAGAATTGGCAAGGGATACTGGGTGCCATTTACTCCTTGCAATTAAAACATTTCATGAATACATTGTTTATTTCCAAAGAAAGGTTCAGCAACAATCCATGAAGCTATATAGAATAAACAAATCTAAAGTATGAAATTGATGAATAATGAGCATAATCTCCTAATTTTATAGTTTCAGCAGCTCTTTTCCCAAATATCTCCAATTTATTTTCAATTTGATTTTTATCTTATGTTTAATTTGCTATATGAAATTTCTGTCATATTTACTTCTATTACACCCTCAACTGTACAGAAATTCCCACAAACTCACACAGATGATCCTTTTCACAGAATGCACAAGTTTCACACACAGGATTCCATCATTACAACTTGCAGAAACCCAATTAAAAGTATTGATAACTTACATTTCTGGCTTTGACCAATCACGATCCTGTTTCTTTACATATTCGACTTCTTTCTTTCCCTCTTCCCCATTCGCTGCTTCTGGTTCTTTAGTGGTGTCATCTATTGGTGCAGTTAAGGTGACGTCTGCTTTCTGTTGATCCTCCTGTTGTATTCTTGGTACCTTTTCAATGACAGCTACAAAGAAACCTCCAGTGTTTTGAAGGTGAGGCAGAATCCTTATACTGAAAAATATATCCAGGTTTAGGGACCTTTTTAGGTAGGTTTGGGCAGGAACATGGATATGATCAGGAAGTTTTCAGTTTTCTGTTGCCTGGCATAGACCAATTTTACCTATATGGTGAAAATGCATAAGGTGCACATGTCCTGATCTTCCAACATTATAGTCGGTCTGTCCTTAATATTTTTACTAAATCATTCCATGACTGGCAATGCGATATTAAGTTTGAATTATGGTTGCTTATCCTCCTTGGACTGGTTTAATTCTTACCATCTATCCAGGTTCAGGGACTCTGCCTGTTCAGGTGTGGGCGGGAACATGGATGGCCTGATCTGTGTATGCAGGGCTTCAGGCACCTCAGACATATTCTCATAGACATCAGAAGTCTTAGACATTATCTATTAAATTATCACAACAATGGGCATATATCACAACATTATCACAACAGTGGGTATATATTATGGAACATGACAAGGCATTACCATGCAAAATTGCACCACCTGCCATTTGCTACTGATGCCGAACGAACACCATCCACAAATAGAGGCATAACCATTTTTCATCACTTAGGGTTTAAATCCAGTTGTGTTCCCGATTGTAAGGGGGGTAGCAGAAAGGACCATGAATGATATGGCAAAGATTATAGACAGACAGATTACCTTTTCATTATTCCAACATTCAATCACTAGGTTCTATCCCATGGGAAATTGATTTAAATTAGACATGTGAATCAGTTTAGAGAATCCGTATAGAGAAATTGTTGATTTTAAATACATGATGACTTTACCTTCCAATGACTCACTCCTTTGTTGTGCTTCAGACCAGGCAGCTCCTTGGAAATGTCAACTAGTCGAATTTCACCTGAATAATAAAACAATTGACTATAGCTTCAACTGAGACACACAGTATTTTAGCAGACAATGGTACCACTTACACAGCGAGGCATTTTTACATTAAAAGTGGGGTCAAGTAAGATTTTGTGCCTGTATATTTATCTCAAAAATCCTTAGTCATAATGCTGCATAATGAACCAATCAAACCTGCTGTGCAATTCAGTTTAACTTGTTGTAAAAATAACCATAGCAACGACACATAGTAAATATTTTGAAACTTTGCTCTTCCTGTTCCAATACATGAAGGTATATTTGGAATATGAATGATTGCCTCAGAATTATCAAAATGCTACATTCCTGTTACTTTTGGGACACCCTGTATCCCAGTGCTGTTACTTTTGAGACACCCTGTATGCACATGAAAAATAATTTTGATGTATAAGAAAACTGCAATAAAATTTTCCCATGTTATTTACTCACAGATACTATTACTATGTAAACATTAAACCTATACACTACACCATGTAATCTTTACCGACAGATACCCCTACAATGTGAACTTTCAGCAAGGTTCAGGCCTTCTTTGCCTCACACCTTGCCAAGCCATTGTTGAGCATTGAGTTAATAGACAATAAATAGAGGAATTGTTGACAATGTAACATTTGCTCAATAATACAACGCAAAAAAATGATCGAAATAACATTAGTCAATTGAGACATTTACTGTTTCATATAGTATGTATCATCATTGACCATTCATGCAATCAATGGCGACTATACACTAGACACATTCACAAGGCTGCCATTTGTATTTTGAATGTTTTACAAAAACCTCCATACATCTTATTTTTCAAGTCAAGCTGACAATAAATTTGATTTGATCACCTTGACATGCAAGTATTAAAAGTAGAACTCTGTTTTTTCTATTTCCTTATGCATCTTTAGTTATGTACTGTTACCTTTTTAGCTTGTGTATGTTTTATTAAAAGCTAAGGCTCAAAGTCTGAATTTATATTCAATGTGTACTTAAAGGAACATTTTTCTATGTTCTGCTAAATATGGAAAGTATATATATGGTTTTAGCTACCATATTAGGAGAGAAACAGAACTCTAATGAATGGTGGCCTTAATTGTGGATTTAGTTTTTATTGAGTATCAAATAATTTAGGCTTACAAAGAATAATGACAATAAGCATACATTTTCTTGAAAAGGGTTTCCAATAATGGGTGCCAGGTTGACAAAATAAGCAGAGAGAAAAGGAGCCTAAAATAGTCAATTCAGTACACAGTACAGACTATAATCAATTTTGACAAAGTACCTCTTTGTTCCCTAGTAAATAAACAATACACCCATTAACCTGATAACATACTGACTAATAAGTGTTATTGAATGTTCATTTATCAGAAAATTTATGGCAGCATGACAATCTAATCATAACATTTAATGGAATAATTTTCCTTGCAAATATATTATATAACTCAATCAGACACATGTTGACCCTTCCCTTAATCTGTGCAGTTGTGGAGTATACCTCGTTGCAAAACGAGATTTCTCAAGCCTCAAATTCATAATGTTTGCTCTAGTGAGCTCTCTACATAAGGAAATCTAAGAGGCCACCAAAATTGAGAAAGTTGTATCTTCCGGGGTCAGTATTTTACATAGACATACAGGTTCTAACAGGGAAAAGACCAATGGGGCACAACAAGAAAAAATATCTAAGAACACAAGTAAACAAAACATATACGACCCAAACTACTCAATATGTATGTACCAGTGCTAAAGAAAAAGAACCAATAAAGTGTTACAGAACACTGCAAGAAAAAGAACACCAATCATAAAGAAAATAAACCCCAAATATCTCTCGCCAAAATCAAATTTGAAAAGAAGCAATGTCTAACACTCCTCCTAACATTAAGGAATTGATATCTCAATCTAAAACTTCCATTGGACATATTTCATTTCATCACTGAAGTAACATGGGATATAATCTATGTTGATCATTACCACACCTTTAGTATCATCTAAATTGCAGCATCGTGTAACAAAATCAATAAAACACCATTAGGCATTTCCCTCAGGAGTAAGCAATTGTTGGCTATCAATGCAAACAATACAATAGACTGATAGACACCAAACTATGAAGTCATGATGTACTTTTACAAATTTCCATGTAGGCATTTTTAGACCTTATTTGAATGTGCTTTTTGTAAACCAACATAGTACATTCCATATCCATTGATATCTCTCCTAGTAGAATCCACATCTGGGAATAAAGGTTAGTTCCATCAAAAGAACTCAAGGAGGCCAAATGGAATCATTTTTTGTATAATTCAATACATTTTTTGTTCTAGGTTTATTAACACGCCTCGGGTCAAATTAACCTCTTAGGTAAAGTGTATGTCATTAGATAATTGTTGAGTGTGTCGTTTGATATCACAGCAAAAAATGCGTATGAATACAATGAATCCTGTCATCAGGATTCATACAGGATATGCACCCAGTGTGCCAAACCTGTATGAATCCTGATGCCTGGATACATACAGGATTGGCACACGGTGTGCCAATCCTGTACGTATCCTGAGTCAAGATTCATACAGGATACGCTTGCAGTGTGCCAATCCTGTATGAATCCTGACGCCTGGATTCATACAGGATATGCACGCAGTGTGCCAATCCTGTACGTATCCTGAGTCAAGATTCATACAGGATACGCTCGCAGTGTGCCAATCCTGTATGAATCCTGACGTCTGGATTCATACAGGATATGCACGCAGTGTGCCAATCCTGTACGTATCCTGAGTCAAGATTCATACAGGATACGCTCGCAGTGTGCCAATCCTGTATGAATCCTGAAGCCTAGATTCATACAGGATATGCACAGTGTGCTAATCCTGTACGTATCCTGAGTCAAGATTCACACAGGATAGGCTCGCTGTGCGCGAATCATGTATGCATCCTGACGCCAGGATACACATGATATGCACACAGTGTACCAATCCTTTACGTACTCTGAGTCAGGATTTGTATAAGTCTGAAGGAGATGATTAAATCTGGTTTAAGCTCACTATTATAAATCAATTAAGGGATTGATGATGAAAGAATGGGATAATACGCGTTTGTACAGTGCTGAATGATCATTAACATGGTACATGTATCTTGCCTAGACTCCCAAATATTCTATGGCGGCCATATTTTGCAAATGTATAGTGGTTATTTTATTTACTGGTAGGGACTCAATATGGGTTTTATTACGAAGGACAATAATATTATATCAATACGCGTACGAAACCTTTTCTTGTAAACAAAAAAATCAACAATAAGTATGAATCCTACGAATGGGTTTCCTTGATCATTGATCTTAACCACACAATACTAGTATATACTTGTTTGATTGCATTTTTGGTTTTTCACGGGTATGATATTCAAAAGACCTCGATTCCGGGCCTTGATTGCAGTCTATGCATTATGTTTTATGAAGTACTATTTTTAATTCCTCATTTTAGATATCACAGATAAACAACTAAAATTTGATGTAAAAATATTACCATAGGCCTTTAAAATCAAAGTAACCTGCCATATAGAATAGAAATCAATCCTCATCATGTTGCTAACAAACAACAGAATTTGGCATTAATATCAAAGGTAGAACTGGACAATAAATTAATAACAATAAGACATTGTTTTAGATCCGGGTTTTGGATATACAGTTCTACCTCTTCGAAAAAACGTCGACTGGCTTTTCTGTACCTTGGATCTAAAATTGATATGTGTAAGAGCAAAACAGTTACATATATTCATCTTAAAAGGTTTTCCCTAGGCCGGAAAGAATTGAAATAGGACCATTTCAAGAAATGAGTGATTAATAGAAATCTGATGTGGGAAGCAAGTGGATCTAATTTACCAAAAAATGTGTATTTAAGATCTAGCATGGACTTTCAATAATATCTATCGAATGCCCATGGATCTACATGTAGTAAATTTGGGGCACCTGGGATAGGGGAGTTGATCGTCACTTCAGTTTAGCCATTACATATCGTGTAAGTCAATATTGTCAATCAACCAACTATCCGAGTGCTAGAATGCGGAGCTTGGTTGTAGGGTATATTATGTATTGCATATAAAGATACTTTGGAGAATTTTAGACATGGTAATGAGTGATATAAGCCAGACATATTGAAACGTTTTGGCTTGCTCGGTAGATCTGATTCTCTCTTTAGTAACCCTGAAAAGTATTACCCAGTAAGAAATATAGAATTAGAAAATGTAGCTTTGTCTCCACGCATCCTTTTGGTATCAGTTATGTTCTCAAATGTCAACCTTCGTGCTTCATTTGGAACTTGGAAGTTGCATTAAATCAATCAAATGTGTGCAGTTGATATCATTGACAAACTGTAGCAGCAGAGGGGCATTATTTGCAAGACATAAACAGCAAACGAGACCGGATCAATTAGTTGCTTGGTTGGTTGCTATGTTGTTTGGTTGCTTGGTTTGTCGAATGCTTTGTTTTCTGCTTGATGAGTAGCTTGCTTCCTTAATTGGTCGGTGGCTTTGTTAATTAGTTGCATGGTTTGTTGTTTGCTTACTTAGTTTTCTGCTTGGATGGTCGTTTGATTGATTGCTTGCTTTGTTGATTACTTGTGTGGTTCGTTGCTGGGCTAGTTGCTTGATTACTTGGAAGCTTCCCTTAAAAAAAAAGCCATGGTAACCATGGTATTCCATGGTGCGTCCATGGTAATCCATGGTTTTCCATGGAAATTCATGGTTTTTCATGGTATTTTCCATGGAAATTCATGGATACCCATGGTAATCTTCCATGGATATTTACCATGATTTTCCGTGGTAATTGGTGGTTTGGTAATTGTTTTTTCATGAACATGCCATGTTTTTACCATGACACTTGAGTTGTAAAATCAACAATTTTGGCAGGTTTTGTTTTTACCAAAATCTTCAAAATTGAATCAATATTTTAACGAATGAATCCAAGCTGGATTGAGAATTAGTCTCATTAATCATGGATAAAAGAATATG